CTCGTGCCTCGTGCCAGAGCCAGGATTGCTCAGGCAACTCATCTAGGCAGGATTAGAGCTCAGAACGATCTTCATAAATCAGAGACAGAGCCAGGAAAAACAGGAGGGTGTTCACCAAGACAAGTGCAAGGTTCAACTGAACAAATACAGGGCAGAGGGGAGGAAGCCTAAATAAATACAGGGAGAAGCTGGCAAGGCAGCAGCTCTGCAGGAAAGAGCTGGGGGATGTAATGGATTGCAGGCTGAGCACAAGGCAGGAGCCTTGTACTGCGACAAAAAAAGATTAAAAGATTAAAAAAGGAGTATTGTTGGGAGATACAAAAAGAACATCTTGCCTCCAGCCCTGCCAGAGTCGCCCCTGTGAATATGTCCTGTTTTGGGTGCCACCCTGTAATGGAGTGGGAAATGAGCAGTGAAAGAGGCCAAGGTCAGTGAGGGCTGCCAGAAGGCTGCAGAGCCTCGGAGTCAAGGGGGGCACCCCTGCCTGGCTGGGGTGAGCCCTCCCCTGGGGAAGGAGATGGGATGGCCCTGGTGCAGGGATCCTGCAGGGAGGAAGGGCTCATCTGTGGCCAGTGAGAAACAGTGGGCTGAAGCTTCAGGGAGGACAAGCTCCTTCTGGCTGTAATACCACCAGGAGTGGCTGTCACCTCTGTCCCAGGGGGGCTGAGAAACCTCCCACAAACCCACAGGGGCTGAGCTTGGTGCTGGGCTGCAGCTCTGGCAGCTGCTGCTCCCCCCCTGCCTTCCCAGCTCACACCCAGCCACGTCTTGCCCTGCCCAGCACCACCACAACTGTTTGGCTGCTGAAGTGTTTTCAGCAGTCACTCCCATTATTTTTTTTAAATTAAAGAAATAGCTGTGAAACACTTGATAAAAATCTATAGCTCTCCTCGCCAGCTTGCAGATAGAGTCCCACGACGGTTCATATTGGAAATTCAATTCCAATCAGTGTATTGGCAGGAAAGGATTAGGGTCAGTGCCAAACACATTCATCCTGGCCAGCACTTGCATGACTCTGTGTGCTCCACCAGCTACTCCAGCTACCTGCAGAGGGCCCATCTCAGGAGCTGGCTGCTGGAACGACTCCCTCTCTCCCATGAGAGCATGGGCTCCCATGCCAGCAGCCCATGATGTGCCCTGTGGAGGGTGTGGGCACATTCCTTGGTGATGCCTCCACATGCCCAGGCTGTGCCTGCTTCCCTTCTTCCCAGCAAAGCTCCCATGCAGATCAGAGCCCTGAGGCATCTGCTCTGGTCTCTGCTGCCCAGGCAATGGGGCCTGGCAAGCAAAACCTTCAATGGTCCTTCCAACACTGTTCCCTCCACCTTCTGCAAGGAGCAGCCCCTATGCCAGGATACACATGGACCATCTAACAACAGTAACTGGGACTTTGCACAGTAAGGGCTCCAGGACCTCCCTCCATCACTTCTGGGGCTCTGTCCCATCAAGTCTCCCAGTCCAAGCTGCTCAAATACATCACAACACAGAGCCTGGTGTTCAGCAGAGACCGGGACACCAAACTGTCTTTGGGCATGTCAAGGCAGGGCCAGGCAGAGCTGTCCCAGGCTAAGACAACACAGTGAATGTCACATCGGGTTCAGGTGCCTCACAGTTAAGGAGATATTGGAAATAGAGTCAGCAGTGGAGAATTTCAAGCAATTGGGTTTTTTAAGGAGCGTGGAGACAAATCTGAATAAAAATGAGTAAGGTAGAGGCATTACCCACAGGGTCTTATCTGATCTGGCATCCAAACCTGCTATTGCCTCCACTTCCCTATCTCGAGGAGCTTTTTAAATGTGCACAGCTACAAATCACACTCTTTCAGTTTAAGTGTCAAATTAAATCAAGACAAACGTTCCCCTGTTCCACATTTCCTTTGGTCCTTGGCTAAGCCCTGCAGCCCTTTCCCAAACCTCCACCTCCCACAACCTGGCACAACCCCAAGCCTTTGCCTTGGGAGACATCTTCAGCCTGAACTTCCCATCCCTCTGGCATGCAGAGCTGCTCCACTGCCAGCCCCTCTTTCCAGCAGGAAAGTTGCTGAAGACTTTTTGCAGAGGAGTTTTGATGTCAAACTCTTCCAGCCACCAGCTTTAAGCCCTTTACCAGAAAAAGTCAGGGAAGACCAGAGTTCATCTTGGCATCCAGCTCACTCCTCATCCAGTGTCCATCCCTCATGCAGCAGTGAAAGCTCTGCTGGGACAGACGGTGAAATCCAAAGAGCTAAAAACTGATAAGAAACTCATTTTTACACCAGCACATGATTTATATGTGGTACTCACTGCCGTAAGATAGAGCGAGGCAGAGAGTTTTGTAAGATTTTAAAGAAGATCTGACATTTACGCAGCTAATAGAAGATTCTGTAGCTCCATGAGTCAAGGCAGATAAAAGGAAGATGCCTGGAGGGAAGATAAGGCCATGTGCTTCGGAGCATAAGCTAATGACTAATAGCAAAAGACAAAGAAGAAAGCACCCCTGGGAGGCTGGGTTTTTCCTGTGTACCAGGTGTTTGCTTGTACCTTCTCTGAAGGTCCTGGCACATGTTTCTGCAAGATCGGATATGCGACGAGCTGCATCCCAGGCTTGCCCCAGGACAGCAACTCCCCTGCTCCTAAAATTCTAAGTTTTGTTTTGGTTTTAAATTAGACCCAGATCTCAAAGTCCTGAGAAGCCTCTGTCATTAATCCTCCTGACACACAACCTGGCCGCATGCTCTGGAAATCATTGCTCAGGGGCTGGCAGCGCTCCAGGCAGAGGGGACTGAGTGCTGACTCACAGGGGCCCCAGGGATGCTGACACCAGGGCAGGCACCAAGGGTGTCATCATAGCTGTACCTGCACACAAAGATCTTGTCTGAGCAAGAGCGTGGTGCTGCTTGGACTCTGCCAGCAGCCGGAGGGACATGGGTGATGCTGGCAGGGCAGGTGGGTGCATTGGCCCCATCTTCAAGAGGGGACTGCAGACCCCCCTGCACTCAGTGCTCTCACTGTGGCACTTGCTGCAAAGCATGAGGCCAGTGTGCCACAGGTCAGAGGCACAGTGGCAACTCACAAGCCTCTCCTCTGTGGTAGGGTTAGGAAAGACATCACATATCCTGGGCTGGAGCTGGACCAGAGGCACAACTGCCCAAACTGGCGCTGGGCGTGGTGGCACCGGGGCTTTGTGTTCATGTGCAGCCACGTGCTCCCACATCCCATCTCCATGTTCTTCCACGGCAGCAGCACTGCCACAAGCCCACCTCCCACCTCTGCCAGACGTGCTGCTTCAGTGCCTTCTCCTCTGAAGGGCCTGTGCCTGTGTGCTGACATCCGGAGCTGTCACCGGCTGCCCGCGGTGCTCCGTGCCTTGGCCCGGCATCTCGTACCTTCACAGTGTTTACATGAGCTCAGCCCCCTCCTCCCCCAGTCTGTCTGGGGCTCTGTCCTGCCTGTTGGCACACAGAGCTCTCTTTGTACAGCTACTGTCCTCCGAGACGTGGATGTTTATGTCCCAGGACCCATCCCCTTCCCTTGCATCCCTGCATCCAGCCCCACTCCATCAGCCAGCTCTAGGGCCATAAACACCACCCAGGCTCCTTACCTTGAGATTTGTGTGCCCAAAGGCTCCTTCGTCTCCTGACCAGTGTTTCTACACAGAAGTGGAGCCCATCTCTGGGGCCAGCCTGCCACTCTGTGCCTGGCCCAGCCGTGCAGGAGGCAGAGCTGCTCTGTCTGCACAGCCTCTGAGTGTTTCTGGCCATGGGGAAGGGTCCCTCAGCTGCAAGATGGAGACGAAGGTCAGAGCACTGCAGGATGATGATTTCAACCCTACTGCTCAGACTCACCATGTTCCTTGCCTTCACTGCCACCTTCCCACACCTGCTTTTCCACTGTGGTGGGTCAAACCCTCCTATTGCCCTGCAGCCCCATGGCTGAGGTTGGGTATTGTCCCCATAGGTGCTGCCACTCTCCTCCTGCCTGCCTTGCCACTGTCCCCTCCCTCACCCTGCAGGGCTGCTGCTCCCCCTCACACATCCCCATTCCTGGCAGGGCTGGTCTCTTCTGAGCTTCCCCAATTCAGCCAGGAGACAAGCTCAGCTCTCCTAGTCTAAACAAAAACACAGGTACAGCACCCTGACCTCCTCCTTCTCTTGGTGCCCTCCCCATGTGCATGTTTGTGCCTCTCCCAGCCACAGCTTGTCATTCACTGATGGTGCTTCAGCCTCCCTAATTCCAGACTGGGAGAACTCAGGGGAAAGATTGCTTTTTCTTTTATTTTTGTATTTCCCAGCGCCCAGCAGACCCAGTCAGCACCAGAACAGACACAGCCCCATCAGGAGCCAAATGGGTACTGGCTCCATCTCACACTTCCATTCATGCCATCAGTGGAGCAGCCACAGAGCAGCGATGAGCCTGCATTCCAAGGGCTACAAGCACAAGGAAATGAAGAAACCCTAAAATAACTCCCTCAGCCTGAAGCCGGCAGCACCCCGAGCCGTGGGGGAAGCCCACCCCACCCTTGGTGCCTCGTTAAAAAGCCCAGCTGCCACTCAGCGAGCAGGACCCAGCTGTGAGGGTCTGAGGAGCCTTTAGCATCCCGGCGGATCGCAGCGAGCGGGTGTGATTCGCTCCACCCTGATGTGGCAGAAAGTTGCAGCTGCAGAGAGCAGCGCTCCGGCATTTCTTACAAAAGGGCTCCCCACCCTTTTATTTTCTTTTCTCTCTCTCTTTTTTTTTTTTTTTTTTTTTTTTTTTTTTTGGTTTCCTTTCCTCTGGAAAGCGAAAATAGCTGCTCCCAGCAGCGTTGCTGGAGCGGGCTGTCCCCGGCTGTCGCAGCCCCATGGCCCTGCTGCCACCTTCAGGGCATCTCCCGCTGGCCCCGGGCTCTGCGGGAGGCGTTCCTGCCCGCAGCTCCTCCGAGACCAAAGCCAGGGGAAAAAAAGCCAACAGGCAACTTCTGGAGGACTTTCCACAGCACGATCCAAGAATTAAAAAAGCGAAACAGATTTTACATATTAAGGCTACAACCCTTTAGTGCAACATTAAAGACTATTTACTTAAGAGGTTGTGGATGTTACGCTGGGAAGTTTTCCCTTCCACAGATGCTGCGAGCAGCGATGGGAGAAGCCTGCAAGCAGCAGTTTGTGGTGTTTTATGCTGCTGCTGCAGCCAGAAATGCTCCTTATCCTCCCAAAGTGGACGTTTGCCAGCGCTGTGGTGATGGGCAGCTGGTCCCTGGGTGATGGCTGTGGGTGCTTTTCTTCTCCAAAATCACGTGTTGAGGACACCTGTGGATTGTCAAAAGCAAGTCACTGCCCTTATGATTATTTACAGAGCTGAGGATCTGGAAAAGCATCCATGAATTTTCTCCTGTGCCATTTTCCCAACATGACAGTGCCCAACCTTTCCCTCCTCCCCTCTCCAGCTTCTCTCCTCTGGATGACCTTTGGGAAATCTGGAGGAATTAGAGATTAACAGAGAAAAATATTTCACCTAATCAAAAAAAAAAAAAAAAAAAAAAGATATAATCAGAAGAGCTCGTTGTGAGCCCAGAAACCTGATGGGCTTTAAAGCTTCAAGTTTTCCTCCTGGCCGCAGGGAGCCGTTCCCACTCCTCCCTTGGAGGCGAAAAGGAAGGCAACGCCTCCTGCTAAATCCAGATAACCCCGTTCATCTTCTGCCACGGATCTCTAACGTTTGTACTGGAGAGGAGCCAGACGCTGGGAAATCCAAGCCTCACCTCCAGCCCGCTCTTGGGCCACCTGTGCTCACGTCGGCGCGGCCACCACGGCCCTGTGCCTGTGGTTTCCTCCCACCCCAGACGGCGCTCCTGGAGCTCCATCTCCAACCCACTACGCTCAACGGGAGGAACCAGAAAGCCAGACTTTGGGTCAGCAGATTTTTGTTAGGGGAGAAAAAACGAAAAAAGAGCAGGTTTGGCTCTTTGTAGGCACACTTCCTGCTACAAGAAACTGTGGGAAGCCCCAGTGGTGCTAAAGGAGCCATTTTGCCCCAGTTTTTTGATTTCTCTTCCCTGTCCAGGTCTGTACCTGCCGCAGACCCAGTGATGTCTCCATGGTTTTCAAAGTTACGACCACCTGAAATTGTGTTTAGATGAGAAAAGCAGCTTTCATTAATGTCTAACATGTCCCCTGTGTGCCCAAAATGCTCAGAAAGCTGAAGAAAAATTAAAAGTCATAATGTATTTTTTTATTCTTATTGATTTTTAAGCCTATTTCATTTTGGGGAACTGGCTTGTAATTTTGGAGCGCTTGTGGGATAATATAAGTACCCGAGGCCTCATGGCAGGATTGTACAAAGACTTTTACTCATGTTTTATTTTTCAGTAACCTTGATAGCTAAATACAGTCTTCTGGAGAAGAGGTTTTAATATTCAAGCTGCCAAAAATAATTGCTTTTCAGTATTATGTGCTAAAGCACCTGATGGGGCCATGGTACTGGAATTCACGTGGGCAAGCTGGCCAGGACAGGCCTCTAATGAAATGTGGGGACCAGCCACCCCATCCCACGGCTGCCTTGCTTTTCCCTGGCTTTTATTGCACAACCCTGGACTTACCACCAGAAAACTGGAACGTCGTGGCATCTCTTGGTGCTCATGGGCTCATCTGGCTGGGCAGGGCACACTGCAAGCCCAGCAGCTCCACATGCACATCCTTGCTCAGGAAGCCGTGCTTTAATCAAGGCTCTGGGATCCTTCCTTTGCTCGCCTGGGGCGGGGGGATTTTAACTCTAAACACATTAGAGTGCGAGATTGAAAGGTAACGTGTTCTCCCGGGGCTGCCGAACAACGGAAAGGAGCCTGGGTTTCATTTGCACAGAGTGTGCGCTGGGAATTTCCCTAATCAAATAAAAAGAAAATGAAAAACTCACTCTCTCCAAAAGTTTAATTCTCTTAATTACATTAATTGGAGAAACATAGGAGCCTCCTTTGCACGCCTTTCTTCTCTGCAGAGGAGAAGGGCTGCAGAAAGGGATTTCTCGTGCATGAGGGTGCAAGCTGGACTTGCATCTGCCTGATGGGGATGGAGGAGGCACAGCAGGGATGCTCTGTGGTCAGCCTCGCCCCAAAGAGAGCCTGGATGATCCCTGCACTGTCAGCTGACCTCTTAATCCCTGGGAAATGTAATGGGGACTTTTCTCCAGCCTTTGCCTGCTCCAGATTCCCATCAGGCGTCAGAAGGGACATGGGGAGCGGAGCGACTCCTCTCAGCCCCGGCTTCTCCAAGGCATGTCAGCAGCCAGGAGGTGGCACGTAGCCCCGGAGGGGCTGTGCTGTGGCTGGGCTCCTCTGCCAGCTGCAGCCATGGGCACCCCCTGCCAGGTGCTGCCCACCTGCACGGCCTGGCCCCGCCGCCCCATCCGCGCTCGGGCTCCTTTAACGCTTCCTTGGGGACAGCAGGGAGGTGACATCATGGCGAGCAGCAGCAGAGAGGGGGGAGCGGCTTCCGCCCCGCTCTGCACAGCCACGGCCCCCCAGCAGCCCCCTGGGATTCACCCTGTCGGCTTTAACCCCTTTGCTACCACAAGGAAGGGAGGAACAGCAAAACTGCCACGGCGTCGGATGTGTGCGCTGCCTGATCCTGCTGCTGGCCATCCTGAGCCCAGTGGGATGTCATCCTTCAGGGGTGGGACCATCCCCCAGACCCTCACAACAGAGAGATGACAGGGAGCAACAGCGTAAATATATCAGAAATACCTGCAAATGTATATTTTCCAGCCCTACTTGGAAATCGGTGCTTTTGGAAAGTCTGGAAGGAAAAGGGGTTTTGAACTTGGACCCACACAAGGCTCTGCTGAGAGCAGCCTGGCCCCCACCCGACCTGCCTCCAGCTCGCTGGAGGAAAACAAACACTAGAGCAGGAACACGTATTGCTCTGCTCTTGGGCAAAACGTCTTCTTCAAGGGTCGTAATTCAGGTTTCCCGGGGCACCTGAAGGGCTCTGGGGAGGGTCAGTGTTTGGGTGAGCTGAGGAAAACTGAGCTGGGTTGGACAGCAGGATCCCCCTCCGCACGCCAGCTCCCCGGCGGTCGGCCAGAGGCCTGCTCCCCACTGACACTGCAGCAGGAAAGGTGACTCTCTAACTATAATTTTAATATATAATGAGAAAAGTCTGTGTTTACTAAAAAAAAAAAAAAACAAAAAAAAGAAGAAAATGGACATGGCCAGACCATTTGGCTGAATGCTTTTCCTTGGTTAAAAAAAAAGAAAAAAGAAAATAAAAGGAAAAGGAAAGAGCCACCTTTGTAGGGGAGATCACGTCTGGAAAATTCCAGCCCAAATGACATAAGTTATGAGCAATTGAAAATTCGGATTAGAAAGGAACTGAGCAAAAAACCTCAAGTATGAGCATCAACATCCTGCTCATAGGTCCCCATTGCCTGAGCAGAGGTCGGCAGTGGGATGGCTCCAGGGCATGCTCCAGAATGCTTCAGGGCCTGGGGAGGGGAGAAGGGGGAGCCCCTCAGTGACATGAGAGTGCTGGTAGAGCAGGGAGGATAGGGGCAGCCAGGTATAATCCAGAGCCTCCTCCTTGGGCACTCAGGATCAGCAAAGAGCTGCTCTGAGGTGACATAAAGTACCCACAGCAAAACCCTTCACCCCAAACACCTCCTGTTCTCTCCTGCCATCTCAGGGCAGGGCTGTAGCTACAGCCCAAGCTTGGGCTGCACATAAGTCTGAAGCCTCTGAACTCCTGTTGTTTCATGCTGGCTTAGCTCAGCTGGGGCAGCTTTGTGCCAGAAATCTCCTAACTGAATTTACTCCTGGCTTGCTGCAGGTTGGGCTGTGCCAAGAAATGCACAGGTGCAAATTAAATCAATATACCTGGTGTGGGGAGGTGCTGGGGGTGTCTGTGGAAGGTTTGCACCGCTGTTACCAGGCTGGCTTTGAAGCCAAGTGAAGCTCAAGTGCTGTGTCCCCCATTTCAAGGCAGCCGTGTGTCTGCAGGGCTTTGCCAGGCCAGCAGAGCCGTGCCTCTGAGGAGGGCTGGAACACAACAGGACACCAGCAGAAGCACCCTCAGTGTCCCTGCTGCCAGGGGACAGAGGTGTGCCTGATCTGGCACAGCTGCAGGAGCACTGGCAGCTCTGTTGCCCCAGGGCAGGGCAGCAGGAGGGTGTCCTGCCTGGCTCCCTGGCTCTGCTGATGCCTGTTGCGCTGCGTGAGGCTGGGTGCTGCAGGGGCTTCATCTGGACGAGGTCCCTATGGGATCAGGGTGACCCAGTGGCAAACCAGGTCCTGTGGGGACAGCAAGCAGGGAGCTGCTCCTTTTTCTGGGCAGGATAGGGCTGCTCTGCCCTGGCTCCATCCCACTATGCTCCTTCCCTGGCAGTGCTGGTGCTGGAGATCCTCCTTCCCTGGGCTGTCATTCACATCCCTCCCTCACTTGGTGGCCTAATCCTGTTTTTCAGTGTCATCAAGGGGATGAAGGTGAGAGCTCACCTGCAAGCTCCCATGGTGGGAAGCCACCTCTCAGACCTCTGTGCTATGAGACAACCTTGCAAGCCATGGTAGGAGAATACATTGCAAGCCTCCATGGTGGGAGGTTCCCCCATCCCAGGCTCCAGAGCTCTCTTGATGGGGCAGAGATGGGCCCATGGTTTGATTCCCACAAATGCAGAAGGTACAGCAGCCCCAGACAAGCAGTGACAACCCCAGGCTCAGCTCAGCTCTTGCAGGTCACTATGGTCACGTCCACAGTGATGAACAAAACTGTGCCAGGGAGTGGGAAATTGTTAGCACAGCTCTGTTAACGTGACTCTGCTAAACATGACTCAGGGTGGCATGGGACAGTGTGACAGGGTGGCAGGGTGAGCATGGCCCCATCGGGGATGCTGTGGGATGTGGATACCCTGGAAGTGATATGGTTCATGCTGCTTGGCTTCAGCCTCTCTGGACAATCTGTGGCCAACAGCCAGGCAACACCTGGGACTCTGGGTTTGATCCAGCCAGGACAGCACCCACTCCATGCTGTAGCTACAGAAGGTGGGATTCATAACAGCTCCCACCAAGGTGGGTGTCTGTGCTGCCTTCCCAGCTCTGTCACAGGGATGATCCTGCCCGTGACACTGTGCCCTAAAGCAGGCAGATACCCACAGTGAGAGCCACCAAGTTCCCAGGCCCCGGCACGACAGGATCTGGAGACGCCCCTTGTCAAATGAGGGTGCAGAGACCTCATGTGGGAGCTAGGCCGTGGAGTCAATGAACCCAGCCACAGCCTGTCCCAATTTGTTTTATTATCTGCGTTGTTTATGGGCACCCAGACACGGCCCTGACAGCGTGAGGGGCATTGCACCCCTCTGGCAGTGCTGTGCACACCCTGCATCAGCCCCAGAGGCAGCACTGGACAGGATCCATGGACAGCATCACCCCCCTTAGTGAGGGCTGGGAGAAAGGCAGGATCGGTGGTGTTATTTTACTTAATTCATGATTAAATACCCCCAGAAGAGTTTAGCCCTTATTACCGAGATATAATGGCCTATTAAGGGAGCAGCATTCCCTGGAAAGCAGCCCAGTGTCAGTGACTCCTTATTGCGATAAGAACTTAATAATCACACGTGGGGCGAGGACAGGAGGAAGCCACAGGCTGCCCATGGTGCAGCCCGGGGGCTCCTGCCCGCGGGGGAAGGGGGGTGATGGGAAGCCCCTCTGGGAGCTCTGCTGATTGAGAAGGAAATCCCCACGCTTGTAAATCTGTAATTCCTCACTAAATGCTTCGTAAGGACAACAAATGTAAAGTAGTGTCAGAAACCTCTCATTTTCTTTTACGGTAAAGTCATGTCCTGAAGCCAGAGAAAGGAACCAGAGAAAAACTAATTGCCCACTCACTGTTTAAAATGTGCTGGTCTTCAGCATCTTGCAGTTTCTTCGACCTGTTTTCCATGTTGTCCTACGGGCAGGGTGGAGAGCTTGAACCCTTAGTGTCTTCTACACTTGCAATAAATTAATTTCAAATTTAGATTTCAGGAAAAGGGACCCCCCCCTCCTCTGTGCCCATTCCTCAGCACATCACTCCTAAGTGTGATGGTCTCACTTGCTTCTGGGCTTGTTATTGAACAGGGAACATTTTCTCAGCAAAATGTAGGGCTGGTGATAAGGACTGGGCAGGAACTGATAGAGACTTTGCAGATCGAATATGATGTTGTTTATTTGACTATGATGTATATTTAAAGGTCTCAGTTACAATTGGCCCCAGGCACTCTCTAATGAGCTGCAGCTGCCTGGACTCTCATTAGCTTTAATGACATCTTCTCAGTACATTTTTCTTAGGGTAAGACCTTGTCCTCTCTATGGTTGTGCACACACTAAAACCAAGAGACATCTCACCCTAAAAGGGCAGCCAACTCAAAACAGTGGAGCAATGATAAATGATGCAAGTGCCCAGAAGAGACAAACCTTTCCTGGAAGAGTCATTGTTTATTTAAGGCAAACTAAATGTAATTTACTTTGGCACACCTTAGAATTAGCCCGGGAGGTATTTGCGCCGAGGCTCAAAAAGCGGGTAACAAAGTCACCGTGTGTGTTCGGCAAAGATCAATTTGCAATTTCCCTGATTTTTGCCATTTGCCTTACTCAATGGGCAGCAATCTGCCTTCCCAAGAGCCACTTTCAGAGGCAGAAAAGCAGTGAGAAAAAAGCCTGGATTAAGAAAGGAGGTGAGAGCAGCAAACACAAGCCCCAGTGTTAGGCAGCAGCTCCCCGCTCCCGCTGCAAGCCGCGCGCTGCCGGCGCTCCGGCAGGCTGCTGCCTATTGATCCTGCCCCTCCATGCGGAGCCCCGGCATCTTTCTTTCACTCTGGGTATGTCTTCTGGTGCTCTGCCCCTACCGCCAGCGGAGGCCTTATCCGACTTCCATCTCTTCTTCGGAGAATTGAGGGAGCAGTCATTAATCATCCGAGCTGTCCCCTCCGTGGGAGCACAATGGCCTTCTTTATCCTGCACTTCAACAGCCCTGACATGTACAATAACAATCAGCCTTGACGTATCTGTATTGCACCAAAGAGACTTACTCAAAAGGTTCTTTTGCAACATTTCGGGTTGTAGTTAAAATATATTGGTGCATTGTGAGGCGAGTGGTGCAGATCATATCGGAGATGTATAAGGGTTTCTAGGCAGCGGGGCAGCATCTCACAAACATTTTTCTGGCAGCGTTGCTAACCCTGGCAGTGGAGGTAGAGATGGCTGGTGCAGGGAAGGTGATCCATGCTTTCACGGGGTGGTTTTCCATCCTGGCTGTTTTCTTAGGGAATCTTTCTAACGGGGAAATTTGGCTGCTTCTGACTGAGACGTGCAGAGCTTAGGAAATTCCTGTCCCAAACTGAGTGCTGCTCTCAAGACATGATGGATAGCAAAGCACCATCCCAGCAATGCTGGGAATATCAGATGAAACTTGTATCTCCCAGCTGATGTCTTCAGACCAGTTCCACATTCAGGGATTTCTCCACTACAGTGCAATACAGTGGAATTTTGTCCCCCAAACCCCGTCAGAGATACAGAAGTCTGCAGAGCAGCTCATAGGATTTGTCTGAGGGAATGTTTGGATCTCACTGCCACCACCACACATGTGCACCAAATGGACACGGGGCAGGAGGAGACAAGCTGGGTACCACAGCTCCTGGGCATGAGGGGGACAAGGGACAGGTCAGGAGAGGGGAAGGGAGACACGAAAGGGAAATGCTGATTGAAAAAGCAGCGAGCTGCCTTCACCCACATTTAGTCAGTTGAAAGTTGTGTTAGGAATTTCTAAGCCCTCCTTAAATTCCTGGGCTCCAAAATGCCACTGAGCTAGCAGAGGTATTTCTGGACAAGTTGCAGGAGCTCCCAAACAACCAGGGAACACTAAGAAAATACAGAAAGATGGGGGTGGGGGAAATAAAAACAGGAAACAGGTGGGATTTACTTCTCCCTTTCCCCCCCTGGTCGTTTCACTGCTTTCTGCGGGGGCAAGCTGCACCTCTGAAGCTCAGATTAAACAGTTTGCTACAAAATAAAAATGCATCTGAGTTAACAAGCTCTGAGATTTAGGGAGCCACCACTCCGGGAGATACACGCATGGGTCATGGGGCATTTCTCAGCCCTCCAGACCCTGTGGGTAACTGCTTTGCCCCTTCCATCCTCAGTGAAACCTAAGCCTGTCGTTTGCTCACAGCCAGGCAAGCTGCACTCGTTCAACTGTCCCAGCAGCCCGGCCTCCATTTGGCTTCAGCACTGCAGATCCAACACCCTGCTCTGCCTGAGAGCAGCTGGGGCTAAAAAAGCAGCAGTAACAGAGAAAATATTGGGATTATTACAGTTCAAAGGCCTTTCTTGGAATTACAAATTGGTTTCAGTCCTCTGTACTGGATAAATGGGTGGGCAAAGCAGCGCTGGGGGAGTTGCAGGGGGTGAAGCTGTGCTGGGACCCCCGTGCTGTCCCTGTAGAGATGCTGATCTGCTCCAGTGCAGGCAGACACGGCGTCCCCAGAACCAAGCGAACCGTGCCAAGCAGAGCTGCACACGCTGCCCTTTTGCTCTTATCCAGGAACCTATTTTTTTTAAGCACATATTTTCTGCTGGCTGCCTCCGTGGACTTTAAAAAAGAATTTATTTATTTATTTATTTCCCTCTTTCTGAAGAAATGTGGGAATCAGAAAGCACACGGCTCACAGCACACAGTGACCTGGATCCAGCATGGAGCCAGGCTGGGGTGTGCCCTGAACAGTACCATCCCCTTGGCAGCCCCACAAGCAAAAGCAGCTTTTCCCTCTGACACAAACTACTCCAGGTCCATCCCCTCATTCTCACTCCTCAGTTCTCTCCTGACCTCTCCATGAGCACTCAGGGAGCTCTCGCTGCTGAGTGCCACAGGTGGATGTGGGTGATGCCACTGAGGCCCAACAGATGCCTCCTCCTTGGTCATGTTTTGGTGCACTGGTTTGATGTGTAATTAGAATTATAAATGTATCCCATCCTTCCTCCCACAGCCATGAATTACCCTGATCTCCTCGCCAGGCTTTCATCATTTACAAATGTTTGCAGGGAATGACTGAATATGGTGTTGGGAGGGCTGCTCACCCCTGGCCACGTGCCATCATCCCACCACCCCAACCAGGGAAAGGCATTCCAAACTGGGAAAGGCACGCTGCGGGCAGCTGGCAGAGGAGAGGGAGAAGGTTTGGGCAAAGCATCCCAGGAGCACCAGGTGAGGCTGAAAGGACTAATGAGCTCTGTCCTCCTCCTGCTGCGAGCTGTGGACACATGCAAAGACATTTCAGCTGGTAGAGACTTGCACATCGACATATCCATTCCTCCAGGTTTTCCTTTCCAGCCTTTCCCCAAATAAAGGCTCATGCTGCTCTGCAGCAGGCTCAGGCCCCAGGCTTTTTATTATTTCCAAGGTCATTTGCTCTGCAGCAGGGCTGGAAAACAGAATTGCCTTTCTTGTGCTGTTTATGTCTACCAGATACACACTACTTGCTTTTTCATTTGGATTCATTTTCTGTGCTGTCCTGAGAGAAAGGAGCAAAGCAATTTTCTATTTACTGCAAAATTCCAACTGAGCAATTTTGTGGATCTGGAGATTGTCAGGAAGAGGTTACTGGACTGTGTACACAGAGGAGGAGGAGAGCAGAAGTGATAGGAGGAGTGCACAGAGCATGAGAGGCGATAGCTAAAGCTGTTTCAATCCCATCCCTGTCTCAAGAAACCTTCGCCTAAACACCCAAGACTGGTAACTATTACTGGATGTGTGAGTAATTCCTAGATAATTTTTTAAGTATTTGGAAAAAAACAATGCATAATGAAAACATTACGTTATTGTCGTGCTGCTGACACTGTTGGCCAGATTCTCAGCTGCTGTGAATCATGATCTCGCCTTTGACTTGAGCAGAATTATGCCTTATTTTTCCCAGCTGAAGATCAAATCCATTGGCCAGCACTCGTGCCACCTTTGCCTCACAGGTTAGAGCAAAGTTATGCCTAGAAAGTTGGTAATTTTGGTGATGCCTGCCCATGGCTTGGCTCTGAAATGCAGCAAGGCTGCAAAGTGCCAGGTACAGCTGGCTGCTGCTGTGTCCAGCCCAAACCCGACGGGGTGAGCTTTGTGCAGATCTGGCACTGGTGAGGGCAGGCAGAGGCTTTGCTGGATCCCAAGGATGGGAGCCCAAGGAGGGCAGGGCTGCAGCCAGGGAGCTGGGAAGCACCCAGCTGGCAGGAGGGAAGGGTAAACACAACTGCTTAGCAGTTTGCACATATAGATTAATTCCTATATGTTTTTTAGAACTCAGAATCATTTATTGTAATTACTGTTGACTGAGTTGTGTTTGAAGGAGGCAGCGCTGTTTAAAAGGATTTTTTGAAAGGTATTGAATTGGGAGGCAATTACTTTTTTTTTAAGATATGTTTAAGGATTATAAAAGTAATTACTGCCCTCAAGCCAGGATGTCTAATTATGTTAAACTGTGGCTTAAGACAGCACAGTTTTCAGTCTCTTCCTTGGGTGGCTCACGCAGGAGCAGAGCACACGTGGCATGGCCGGGGCAGGGCGTGCCACCAGAGCAGTGCTGCAGCCCTGCAGGGACAGGGGACACACATGGGGGGTGGACATGGGACCACAAGAAAGCAGGGAAAACTGGGTGGAAAAGGGAGAAAGGGAAAAATTGGGAGGGCAGTGGAAATGAGGGATTATGGGCACTAAGCTGGCACTCCCACCACCCCAGTCGCTGGGCACAAACCAGCCTGATGCCTGTGGGGAAGAGTTCACCCTGCTTCAGGGAATGGGCACACTGACCCCTCCGGGGCCTCTTCCTGCCCTGTTTTTCTCTGTTTTCCTCTGGGAGCCCTTCACAAGCAGCAAGAGAGAAGTATGCGTTTATTTTTCAAGCTTGCCTTTTGACTCCAGCTCCCCTCTGTTCTTCTGCCAACGTGTGAGAAACAAGTTCAGGTTTAAAAGGCAACCTGAAATGTGCATGCACGCACAAAACAGTTTTATTTTTATAATGCCGTGATTTATGGGCCAGCTTAGGGCAGGGGGGGATTTCG